GGAGAAGGTCGTCAAAACCCCGCCACCCGACATAGACATCAGCAAGCCGGTATGGGTCGAGCTCCCCTGTCCGGACGACGAATGCATCACGGGCGGCCACGCTTACGGCGGTAAAATATACGTGGGGGAGATCCGCGCGTATATGTGGGTCTTCCAAGGTGCTGAGGATCACGCGTATCTTGCGGAGCATTGGAAAGACAATATTGAAGCCTGGGTACGCAGCGGAAAGGCTCTGGTAAGTACAGCCCTCTTATCCGGGACTGATTATACTAAATTGATATCAGCTTCTGCGGAGGAAGTACGCGACTCCTGAGCAGAAGGCTGCACTCAGGCAGTGGGAAGATCGCTGGCGCGAGTGCATGCTGTCAGTGCGACAGAAAGTTCTCAACAGGATCATCGTAGGCAACGTCACCCAATGCGTCAACGATGCCGAAATAGCCGCGTACCAACAGAAGTTCAACCCGCCGCCAAATTTGAGCTTGCCTCATATCAAAGGCCCTGTAGGGATTGTACGAAGGCAAGTCTACCGTGGAAGCTGGAACATGGCAGCAGAAAGGCGAGCAAAGATGACGAACGCCTCGACCTCGTACGAAGACGACGGCCTTCCTGGAACCGTGGGCGAAGCGTTCGTTGTAGGGAAGAACCTCAAGCGAGCGCTGGACGACGGCGACTTTGAAGAAGCTGTGTCAGCACTCAAAAGACCTCACCTCGAAGACGCTCTCGCGAACAAGAAGAGCTCGCTGACGGATTCGGATTACTTAGGCTCCGGTGACGGTATGAGCGACCCCATATCGAGCGACCCCATCGCAGATCCTACGTACCGTCCGGAAGCAGACGACGGCTCGTATTCGCAGGACAGCAACCACGGGGAATCGTCGCAGGACGGTTCGGCATCCCAAGACAGCTCTTCGCAGAACGGTTCAGCGTCCCAGGACAGCTCTTCGCAGGACGGCGAGGCGTCCAGAGAAGACGAGTCTTCGCAGGAAGATGAGTCTTCACAGGAAGATGAGTCGTCCCAGGACGGCGGCTCATCACAGGACGGTGGCTCATCGCAGGACAGTCAGGAAGACTGACCGAGTTGCGCGTGTTAGGTGTGAGCGGGCTACTCGTTGCTAGTCGCTGAAACCAGGTTCCGGCTAGACGTCTTCATTCGCGTTTTGTCTCGTTCGTTTTGTTACGCTATCGTCGCTACAATCATCGCTTCCCGTACGGCTACCTATGCTACTCATCGTTATCTACTGTCACGCAAAACTCTCCCGTGTCCGCGTGTGTACGTATCTTTGAGGTCTATTCACTACTACAGCTTGGAGGTTACGCTGTCCGAGCTCAGGCCACATCACGAGGGGCGTCCGAAATTAGGAAGCGCCCGGTACCAAGGTGGCGGCACTTAGTTGACGCCTCCGTAGTCTCGAGTCAAGCTTCATGCAACTCACTCCGGAGGAACAAACGGATCTAACGGAGCTGTTGCTGCAAACCCCTAACCTCAACGCGCGACTTACGTCCTTGCTGCACAGACTTCCGGGCCCACACCGCGTTGAGCGACTTAACGACAACCAGCAAAGACAGTCAAGTCTTTACGCGCAGCCTGACATTGATCCGACGACTGGTGAGCTGAAATATATCGTTGTGCTGTTCACTAAACCAATGATTTTGACAGTGAATCTGGAGAACACATCTTACTGTACGGACAACAACACTGAGATTGATCCGCCCAGACACTTCACTACCAAAATCCGACAATCAGGAGGTACGTGTCACTCTCGCACTTTACTACACACTCAGTGTGCGCTAACAGACGATATTAGCAGATGAATCTCTGACCGGCGGCACTATTGCTACTGGCCCCCAGCGGCAAACACGGGCCTCTCGACGTGCCCGCGAGCAAGCTCACCCCTACGCCCCTCAGCCAGTTGCAAGAACTGTTGCTGCAAACCGGTTTGAAAAGCCAGGCGGTGACGAACGCGCTCGAGGACTGCTCCGACAGCGACCACAGCAGCGCCTCCCTCCTTGCCCTCGAGGCGGGATACAGTTCCTCCCGCCTAACGTTGCAATGGAGTCCCACGCCTCGACGGAGTCCGAGGAGGCACCGACGCAGCAGTGGCAAAACACCTCAGAGCCAAGTCTTACCACCGGTGCCGCTGTTCACAAGTATACGTCTCTGCTTACATCGAATCTCAACGATGCGAAGCTCCTTGACGTGTGCAAAGCGGTACAGGCAGACGTGACGCAGCTGCAGGGGTCGCCTGTTCGCCAGGATGAATCGCTACGCTCTCTGGTAGCCCGGTGCGCGCACAGCCTCAAGCTGGACGCGGCAGCGAGTTTCTGGCTGATCATCAGCCACATTAGGCTGGCCTTTAGAGTGGCAAGGTACGTCACCTTTACGGTATCTTCTCCTCGTGTTGACTGGCTCTGGTGTGAATAGCATACTTGAATCTGATGATGGCCAATCGGACGAAGGCAAGCTCACGGTGGCTGGAATTTGGCGCAGAGAATTCGAAGGCGTTGAGGGTGCGCCAGAAAAGAGAACATTTCAGGACTGGAATACTACTGGTGTGAAGTTTGCGCGACTCGCGGGAGGTGGTAAGTGTAGCTCGATTCTGTTCACAGACTAGATACTTGTCTTAAACTTCGCGCACAGGTTCTATCTATATGCTGGTGCTAGTAGCCGCTCAGAATCTCAGGGTACCTCTGGCTACCGCCAACGCACACATTGCGCAAGATTTCGGTAACCTCCTGAGGTGGCCGGACGGTAAGCTGATCATGTTCTTCATGCTGGACTGTTCTAAGACAATGTTCAGATTCGAGAACTGGACGGCTCGTAAAAAACATCATAATTCCCGCAGTAGCCCGTCTGCGAGAACAGTGTCCAATTAGCCTCATCAGTATTCTGCCGCCAGCTCCCCAAGCTGGAGCGTCAAGATTGTTTCTTCCATCAGCTCTATGCGGTCATCTTGAGGCGTCGGATCGTGTATTTGACTCCTGGAAACTGAAGTGAGTATCGAGCTCTCTATTGCACTGACGTACGTCATCACGGCATACTAATCCCTCACAGCTCGTTTTCTCTAGTGCCAAGGAACAGAGGCGTCTGGATATCGTGCTACGATGAGTGCGACACGAGCAACACGTTCACATATCCGTCAACCGACGAACTTGGCTCGTTATCACCGCTGACCCCAATCGACTCCCCCGTCCCTCAGGAGTTCGACTTACCAGACCACGGGGTCGATTCCCCGCTCAGGCTATCTCCCGTCCCTCCGCAGTTAGAAGAAATCGTGGTTCGCATCCAGTATGACGAGCAGCGGGAGGATAACCAGCGCTATCCAGGACCGCGTGGCGACAGAGAGAAGAATATTGTCTGGACAGAACGAGCTCGTCAACATGCGTCTAACTGCGTTCAACCGGCAAGCTTTGAGGGTCTCCAGACTGAGGTATGCGGTGAATTGATTCTCAATTCCGTATCAAACTTGAACCCTACTTTTACAGCTCGATTGTTTGTACTCTGAAGGAAAGAGAATCAGGGACGACTCATATGTGCGCGTACCCTTAGAACTTGTAAGGTCAGTAGTTCTAGTATTGCCCTAGTTACCTGTGATGCTGCAATTACTCACGAGGTACAACTCACAGAGACGTGCTGACATTCAGAGGCGCAAACAACAGTCTCGTAGCGTCGATCTGCACGTCGATGTCAGAAGCTATGGCAGCTGATCTGACGGAGCGGCTGGTCGTGTGCTTCGATACCGATCCTTTGAACGACGTGGACACTGCGACGCAAACACAGCACGACTTTGAAGCTATTCATTTCTCGTGGTACAACCGCCACGCCACAAAGGTCTGAATACTTGTGCCGTGCTTGACGTTCACTAACGATGCCGTCTGTATAGGGCCACGACGCGCCCTCGGACGTACCGCCACAAATGATGAGCAAGTCGGGACGCTCTAGGACCAACTACCGTCAAATGATACCGTATCCGTCCACATCTTTGTCAGTTAAAGTGGATTAACAAGGGTACTTAGAAGTACCTTAGGTCAGATTAACTTGGTACACTAATGTACTTCCTAATCCGTGATCCAGTATTGATCCAGGATTAGCAAACTGGATTTAGAGGATTAGAGTTTGGATCAGTGTCATTAATCCTGGGCTAATCTGGGTGGATTAATACCAGCTAATCTGATTAGGCTACTGGATTAACTGATGATTTAAAGTGGATTAAGAAAATAAATGGCACCAGCCAGGATTGAACCCCTGACCTGATGAAATATTACATAATCACCTATTTGAGTCGGACTCTCTGCACTCTAACCACTTCACCATATGGTTGTTATAAACCTAGAAACACAATGCTATATGACACATTCTCTGAATGCTGGACTTAGACATATTCTGGCCCTCTGTTACTGTGCTCTGCACATACCTGGTTAATCTGCAGATTAGTACTGGATTAACACAAGCTGATCTTTCTGGATTAGTGGTGCTAATCCTCAGTCCCATCTGGTCTTAGATCAGCTGTGTTGCTGCATGGATTAACAAAGTTAATCCAGTGGATCAGAGCATACTGATCCAAATCTCAGTGGTGGATTAGTGTACTCTAAATCTGATCTCAAAACTGGATTAAGTGTAGATAGATTATGGATCAATACATTCTAATCCTGATCTCAGAATTGAATTTAAAACTGGATTAACTGTACTAATCCAAATCTCTAATCCAAGATTACACTCACAGTTAAACCAATTCTGAGACCAGGATTTATCTACACTTAATCCAGTTTTGAGATCAGATTTAGAGTACACTAATCCACCACTGAGATTTGGATCAGTATGCTCTGATCCACTGGATTAACTTTGTTAATCCATGCAGCAACACAGCTGATCTAAGACCAGATGGGACTGAGGATTAGCACCACTAATCCAGAAAGATCAGCTTGTGTTAATCCAGTACTAATCTGCAGATTAACCAGGTATGTGCAGAGCACAGTAACAGAGGGCCAGAATATGTCTAAGTCCAGCATTCAGAGAATGTGTCATATAGCATTGTGTTTCTAGGTTTATAACAACCATATGGTGAAGTGGTTAGAGTGCAGAGAGTCCGACTCAAATAGGTGATTATGTAATATTTCATCAGGTCAGGGGTTCAATCCTGGCTGGTGCCATTTATTTTCTTAATCCACTTTAAATCATCAGTTAATCCAGTAGCCTAATCAGATTAGCTGGTATTAATCCACCCAGATTAGCCCAGGATTAATGACACTGATCCAAACTCTAATCCTCTAAATCCAGTTTGCTAATCCTGGATCAATACTGGATCACGGATTAGGAAGTACATTAGTGTACCAAGTTAATCTGACCTAAGGTACTTCTAAGTACCCTTGTTAATCCACTTTAACTGACATCACTGCCGTCCAAAGATATGGTGGTCCATGAGCCCATCTATCAGGCAATGGAGCGCATTCTGGGCGATGTGTTCAGCTGGATAGATACTAAGGTAAGCTCAATTTCCGTATTCTACTGGTACTGTGAACGTGTTAATCTAGTACGAGTAGGTGCAGACGATCCTTCCAGGCGTATACCGTCATCTCGAGGCAACGGCCAGCATCCTCCCTAACCACCAGCAGTCGCTGGTCAACCCGTTCGTGGGTTTGGTCATCAACGTCAACGTTGCAACCTACGCCCACAGAGACAGCAAGGACGACACTGTCTGTGTCGTCCTTGCTGTTGGCAATTTCGAGGGCGGCGAGTTGTGCCTGCACGAAGCAGGCCTCGTCATACCGCTGCGTCACGGCCATTTCGTTATTTTTCCTTCATGCAAACTCACACATTTTAATCTACATTACAAGGGGCGACGGGCTTCAATAGTGCTACATACGGACCGTGAGATGTTACGCTGGGCAGAAAGCGATAGGAACGGCTGGGCTTCCAATGTCTATTTCCACTAACGTAGAAGTAATGAGTGTTGTTGACATGTAGAGTCAGATAGTTAAGTAAATGAACGTGTGTTTCTTTCTTAAAAGACATGCTGGTCTTGCGGCAATAAACTCAACTCACGGACAACGTCGTACTCCCGTGATCTTGCGCGGACCTCCTCGGGCAACGGCTTACCGCAACTCAGCGCCCGATTGCTCGGCGCCGCGTCGTGACTTCAACGTTCGCACTTTCCCTCCTCTGCTCGCTGGGCTTGTTCATCTCTCTCTGATCTTGGACTGGCACCATGTCTCCGCGAACTCGCTCCGCCGACTCGAAGAAACTCACCGCTCAGGCGAAAGCGACAGGATCGCGGGCTCGAAAGACCAACAAGGTAACCAAGACGCCAAATTCGAGCAAGGCGGCTTCCAAATCAGGCGGCGAGGCCCCGCTGTCCGCGAAGGAGCAGAAGCAACTCGAGCTGTTGCTCAGGAGACAGTCAGTTCAGAAAAAGAGTAAGGACGAGGAACATCAGGCGGGTGAGTGCGTTCTGCACGGCTGTTGAAAATATTTGATGAATGAATCTATACTCAGGGGTGCGCAAGAGGACGGCTGAGATGACTCGCAAAGAACAAGGATCGGAGGATGAACATGAGGAACAGCCCCGTAAGAAAGCAAGGCAAGCTCGTGGTTCCGGCGGCGATGGCGAGGGCGATGGCGATGGCGAGGGCGATGGCAATGGCAATGGCGAGGGCGATGGCGAGGGCGAGGGCGATGGCGAGGGCGGTGGCGATGAAGGAAGTCCAGACAGCGGTAGTGAGCTGGACATTCGCATGGAGAGCCCTTCTCCTCCTGCTCGGCGTACGTGCAATCTCATAAGCTCAGAAGCTCTAACTAATACTGATGTATGTTTGAAATGAGCTAAACCTAAGCCGGCTTACAGGCGGTTGAAGAATCCCGAGCCGGACACGAGGAAGGGAGATGCCCCGTTGACCGAGGAAGAGCAGCGCATCGCACAAGCTATCGCCCGTAAGTCACATCGCATCAGGAGCTGCGTGTATCACTACTAACACTGGTGTCTTAACGCACTCCAGCAAAGGGCAAGGCTAAAGAAAAGCCCGCGTCGAAGAAGTCCGTAGTCATTGAAAGCCCGGAGGCCTCGGAGCAGGAGAACGTGTCTGTTCGCTCGGGATCGGCAGAGAAGGAGGATAGGTCTAGGCAGGTGGGAAAGGGGAAGGATGTTGTGCGCGGTAAGAAGAAGGCGTACGTGGAGATCAGCGTTACAAAGGTGAGTATTGTATGTTATACGGACTTGAGAACCTGACGTGTTTGTCGATGAAAGGGCAAGAATACGTCCAAGTCCAAGACAGTCGCTTCAAGTTCGGAAGATGAGCAAGATGACGATGACAAGGTGGACGAGCTCGAATCATCGGACGATGACGGTGGCTCCCGGTTCTCGGTGCAGGGAGCAGATGAGGACGGCGTGGATGACTCGGATGATGTGGTGGTAAGTGGTACTTGCGTTCGTTCGAAGCGTTGACGTACAGACGCATTGTGTAGGAGATGTCTACGAAGGACGTGAAGAAACACCGTAAAGGGAAGGGCTCTCAAGTAAAGGCTCGAGCGCGCGTCAAGGCTGCAGACCTGCCCATTGATATCCGTCCACTTGTCACCGCTGCTCAGAACTTCCTCCGGCTTCGCCTTGCACTCAAAAACGCGTGGACCAGCGACTCCTCTGTGGCAAGTTCCCGTCTGCTGGACAACATGCAGCTCGTCGTCACTGCCTTGAAGGAGGCTCGTGACATGCGCGACAAGGACGGCAAGAGGGTGAAGAGTATGCGGGTCGCATATAACGAAGTGCAGGATAAGAAGGGGCACGAGGGAGATACACTGAGAAAGAATGTCCAAACAGTGGTGAGTTACGTCGTGGGTCTCAAAAATATCTTAAACCTTCATTCTCGGCAGGTCTGGACGGTCGCCTCTCAGTTTCGATTCGACGTAAAGAAGAAAGCGAAGAGCGTGGTCGAACACGCGTACGGGCTGAACAGCCTGTCGGTTCAGCAACGGATATCGCTCGCCCAATGGCTCCTCAAAACTCACCTGATGAAGGTCAAGGGTGGCAAGCGTGAGATCCCTAACTTCGTGTTCGGTGACATGAGGATTATCTGGAACGCGAAGGATAAGCTAGACAAGGAGGTACGTACTCTATCACTAGACGTGTTTCCGACGTGTTGTTGCGTCGTGATACCCGCTAATCCAGGCGTGCAGAAATGCTCTGTCAAGTCAGAGCTTCTGTTTAGGCATCCTGCAATCTCGGAGATAATCGTGCAGCAGTGGTTCCAGGGTCATGCCACAGGCGTGCCTGTCGACCGCTTCAGCGCGGTCCCAGACAATCTCATCGCTTTGGTCTGCAACTCGGTAGGTTCCTGTTGCGATGTGTTTTCTGTACTGTGCTTATTATCGCAACGTCATTAGATAGATGCTGCGTTGAGCGAGATAGCTTTCGGGAATCAAGTAGCGTTCACCAACAGGGCCTTCGCACCAAAGTAAGTCATTCTACACTCCTCTAAGCAGTGATGTATTGACCGGTCGCTAGGTGGGACGATCTGATGTCAATACTCGAAGCTACGCAGAAGAACGCGCCCGACTACTACGCTGACATGAAGAAGCAATTGTGGGCTCGTATAAGGTGAGTGCTCTGCGTTTCAGACGTAGGCAATAGTTACTTACTGATAGAATACTCACAGCTCCAGAATTGAAGGCGATGATGAGGAAGATTCGGACCAGGACGACGGGGAGGACTTCGTTAAGTGGACGAAGCTCCAGGACATGGTGCTCGAGGCGCCCACCGCCCCCTCGTCCTCGAACGCGGGTCCGGTGTCATCGTCGAGTACCGCGGCGAAGCCCTCGTCCGCCGGCAAACCTACATCGTCAAAGGGGAGAACCAGTGGGGCGCAGGGTAAGCAAACAGTGTACGACAGTATAGCTATGACTGATGGAAGCTTGCACGACACAGCGTCCTCGAGCAAGACGGTTCTTCCAGCTGAGCCTGGTGTGAGCAGCGACGGAGAGCAAGCGGGCACAGAGGGACAGGAGCGCGAGTATATGCCTGATACTCTTATGTCTTCTAGGGCTGACGTTGCGACACACAGGTAACGAACCTGCTCTGAACGCCGATACTGCCCACCCCTGATCGCCTACGCCAGCTGTCTGAACTCCAAGGGTACGACAGCTCATTTATCTTCGCTCTGGGCACTCACCTAAATTGTTTTTATTTTCAGATTACCAATATCTACTCGCGTCTACTATACCCCACATCCTTGGAGGTAACAATCTACTATGTACGTTGTCTCGCATTCGTTGCTGTGTGCTTGTAGTACGTTGCTATCGAGCCTGTTGTGCTTTTGCTGCATGTATATCAATGTTGTACCAACTATAGAAGCGTGAATGAATGAATATAAGGGATCAGTGGAATTAATAGGCATTGCTTGAAAGAATTAAGAGCTTGGTCTCAAGCCCAAAAGTAAAAGCTCCTTGAGAATAAGCACATAAGACTTCCATTGTAATGTCATGAATGACTTGGTCAAGGCATTCAAGCTGGGACGTTAGGACTGGTGAGAAGAGCACAAGTAATACTTATGGTCTCATACTCAAGTCCAGAATGCAGCTTTGCTAACTCTCAAGTCTTTCCCAAGAACAAAACGTAAATGACTTGTCTTTCTGCCTTTTATTACTTTAGACTACTTGAGAGCCTCTCAAGACACATGAGTTTTTCCTGATGACTACTCCCTGTCCAATGCTCTCGGCTACCGCTCGAGAGGTATTGGGCACGTCTATGTATCATACGACATCATGTGCCAGTACCACGTCCATCTCCATGACCGATTTGACGACAATCCTTATCTTCAAATGCCGGGGGGCCTCGTCCTATACAAGTGCATTGGCCTCTTTCACATTCACGGTCACAAGGCGGAGTGCGAGCTCCGGCACTCTCTCACCTTCACCGAGGGGGCCGGGGAAGCTGACGGCGAGATCATCGAAACCCAATGGTCGGGGATCAATCCCGTGTCGGGTAGTACCCGCTCAATGTCAACATCCCACCGGCAGGAAACCCTCGACCGGCACATGAACAATTGGAATTGGAAGAAGATGATCACCATGGGTATGGTCTAGCTGATTGTGGCATCACACATTGGGCTGACGGAGGACAGTGGCTTCGCTGAGAAGAAAATCAAAGCCAATCGGCCACTGCTGGCCGACATGAAGGCCGACCTCACCGCAAAGGAGGCCAGTGTCGATGCCGACATTTTGGGAGAGTGGAGGAGGGAACTCAGGATAGTACAACGACGAAGGCTGCGGGATGTGAAGGTAATGGACAGGTATCAAGCGAAGAAACAAATTAGTTGGTACACTCTGCTCTCCATGCCGAGCTCTGGTCTGATTTGGTCACAGTGCCCTCGCGGCTCGAACTTCAGATAAAGCTTGCAGAAGAAGAGGGTGAGGGCGGGGACCGCGTTGGCACAGCGGACTGGATTGCCGATGGCCTTAAGCTTGAAGAGCAACAGTCAGTGCTTTGACCTCCTTTTCCGAGCTAATTCTGATCGCCCTGCTGCAGACTCGCAATCCAGAAAGATATAAAGCAGATGGGCGCCACTGTGACGGGGGCTCAAGAGTTAAAGCTGGCCAAACACAGGAAGCCTCTCGAGAGTCAGATCCGGCGGTTCCACCGGCGAGCGGCTGCAATTCACCGAAGGCATGACTGGGGCGTGGCAGAGGAGGAAGCAGTGGATGACGACTCGGCTGCGGAGTGGGAAGACGATCCCAACGATCCCCCAGCACATGCGAACAATCCATGGTCCATCTTTCCCAGTAAACCGCCCGCACCATACCCAGTGAAGGCGGCGGAACATACGAAACTCGGGCTACCTTCGAATTTCACGCGGAATGCTCTTACCGCCAATGGATTGCAACGGTTGGCCGCGCACGAGCTCACTCTGCGGCGCGGACAAGCAAATGATGCCTTGCAGCAGCTTCGGATTCTCATCGGCAAGAAATCGTTTGAGTTCCAGACAACCATTCGGCACGGGAGGAAAGATGGCAATAAGAAGCGCACCCGATCCTTCACCAAGTTGGGTAAACTCGACCGAGCTGTACAGCTTCAAGCCGCAATCTATCGCCGGGCCCGAGCGGCCATGCAAGTGCTCGGCGTGTCTGCAGAGGATCAAGCTAAATATCAGCAGCTCACCCCAGACGATCTAAAGACAGTAACCGCCATTGCTGAGCCCAACAAGGCCGGCCAACGGCACAAGTCCCCGTCGTGGATATGGAATGTTAACGTCGGTGGCGACATACGGAGCAATGACGAGTTGGGAATCAGTACGTGAGACGGCGGTGCGGCATTGAATAACTCGCTGACATTGCGCATAGTTCACAGGGTACAGTGGTTCCATGCCCGTTCAAAGGTCGACAGATTGGAGGAAGAAGCCGCCATATTGCGCAGGGAGCTTGACTCCGTGTGCCGATACTTTGACCACGAAGCATGCCGGTGGCGAGGACTAGCGACCAATAACACCGATGCCGAGTACCCAGGATTTTCCCAGCACTGCCGAGCTCAAGGTGCACTGTTTGATCGCCTGCGTGAAGATGCAAAGGTGGCATGGCGGGATCTGTACCTGGAGCCGAATGTCGTGATGTAGTGGTAGGATAGAAATTTACTTTGTAATCGTACCACCTACCCGGCTACACAGTCTACATATTCCGAGGGTTGTGACGAGCTGTCAGGCCCCATGGTCCCAGCTCCGAGTCCGAATGCTTGCCCGAAGTGCCGGCCCGAGAGTGTAACCAAATACTCGGCCGGCGCACCAGTCCGAACTCCCGGCCCGAGTATATGACCAAACACTCGGCCCGCGCACAAGTCCGAACTCCCGGCCCGAGAATATGACGAAACACTCGGCCCGCGCACCAGTCCAAACTCTCGGCGCGAGGTATCAGGCATGCTCGTGGCCCGAGCAACGTTGAGAACTCAAGGTCTCAGTTGTGTGCCCAACTCTCGGCCCGAGCACTTCCCAAATCCTCGGTCCGAGCACTCTTTCAAAAGCTCGGGCCGAGCGACCAGGCAAATACTCGGCCCGGGTTAGGTGAACGAGGTGTTGGCCGCAATGTCGTATGCCTGTATACATAGTGCCCGCGTGGCCTTGGCAGAGGAAAGTCGTATCTTAGAGGGACTGTCGGTGCTCTGGTAATTCATACAAGGACATGAAATGTACTTTTGCCCGGGATGGCATCCTGCAATGTCGCATGCCAAGTAATGGGAGTTCGGTGATCATCCTGGCTCATTTGGAGCAACTGAAAGCACGACAGCAGGAGTACATGTGTAAGCATTTGGAACCAAGGACTCAATCCATCAACATTCCATCCCGCGCCTCCACCACATCAAACAGCAACATAATCCTTTCCAGCCTGGCATCAATCCCGGAAATGTCAAGGGACATTTCGCTGCTCTCGTACGTCACCGACATGACGATCTGTCCACACAGATATCGCCTGATCGAATATGTGTGTGGCCGCTCGGGCACCACTTCGGCATAACTAAATATTAATGTCACAATCTTGATGTACATTGAACCGTGGGAAGCACTCACGGGGTGGACAATGCGAATGGAAGCAATTCCCAGCTGAGGAAAGGAAAGGCTTCGAGCCGGAAAGACTGCCAATGCCAGTCAATGCGCGCGGTGGGATAGGTGCGGACCAATGAGAACGCACCATGTCCATATGGCAAGTCAACACAAATAAGAGCTTGGTGTGATTGAGGAAGGTGATGGGGGTAAAATATCACAGTTACCATTACAGAAGGCGGGCTGCGAAATGGCCTGTCGGCAACGTGCCACACGTGCCGAGCAGACTATACCCAAGAAGGCATGTCTCCCCGAATGTAATCACGTGCTCAGCATCGGCGATCAGTTGATGATAACGCTTCGCACTCGCATGTTGTCTACACCTACTCCTGTATCGTACACTATCCGCGTTGTCTGGACCGAGCTGCTCAACAACAATGAACACCATGCTCGCCGAACTCCTCGCTGACAGCCAAAGAAACATCATGATCCCGAAGGCCCTCAAAAATCTCGCCGAGGCCAAGCAGAATCCTGCGCTGCCCGGCGCCCTTAACAATTTTCTCATGGGCATCGTAAGCTGCCCCGGTATCGTTTGCTTGTCGTGCAGCTAACATACGACAAAACCAGTCGGTCTCTGCCCTCATGATCGGCCTCCAGGAGATGTTGAAGCCAGAGGTTGCCGCTACGTATGGTCTTACAGAAGCAATGACCACTTACTGCGAGATTGTGGCACCCCGGGGAAGCAAAGACTTGGCCATTGTCACGAATGTGATCGAGGCTGTATCCGGCATCGCACCAGGGCAAAGTGGGGCGCCCGCTACCACCGGAACCAGCGACACTCCTTCCGGCGAGCACAACGGTAAAGTGTTTCGGTCTAAGCACAAGTTTCCAGTGATGCTAATCCCAGCCACCGGAAGATCAACTCCCGCAAACCGTCCCCGCCCTGCCGGAAAGCAACACTCCGGAAGCAGTTCTGCAGGAGCTGCGTGAAAGCCAGCGCAGCATGGATCAGATCATCGCCGAGCAGCTCGGAGCGTCGAGAGAACAATACCGCCGTCTCGAGCAGCAACTGGAGTTAGAGAAGTTGCGTGTAAGACAATTTCACCACCATTTGCGTTCTCGTGCTCTGCTTATGCACATTTGTGTCGTAGGACGGAGTTACTGTTCGTGCCGAGCAAATCAGCCGGGCATATCTCCCCCGCTTCCCGAACCCCCGCCCCTCAGCCCGGAAATGATGCCGGGAGGCATGTCGAACGATCTATTCAAGTGGTTCAAGCAACTTGGAGGGGCCATGCAGACAATTAATATCTATATCCAGGCGGAGCTCAACTTCTGGCACGCTGCCGCCCGAGCGAATGCGGCAGAGTGGGAAGCCTGGCAGCGCGGGATGACTCCAAGGGCCCCGGCAGTGGCGTCTCATTTCCGGGTCACTCAGGCTGGTGAATGAGTAGTGTAGAATTTGTGTCGTTTCACCCAAGTTCCATTCATGTATTCCTCCCACTGCTTGCTTACAATGAAGACTTGCACATTTCGCTGAGATGATACGCGGTGTTCCCGGCCCGAAGAAACTCAGTCTCGGCCCGTCAACGATGTGTATGTCGGGGGCTAGTGAAGTGCACACATTTGTAACTTGGACTCGTGGTTGAGTACTGGTCCTGTAACCCTAAACACTACGAGTGCCCAAACGAGAAAACCCATTTCCCCCCCAGCCCAACACATATCCCGCTTTCGTAGTACCTTCACTCCCAAGTGTTCCGCCAACTCACGTCCGGCATCCCAGCCAGCGATGTACATTGCGTCGCATAAAGTATGCCACACATATCCGCTCCGCCGACGCCTGTGGAACATCGTGGGGGAGGCGAGTGCCCGAGAATGCGGTGACCGTTCCGGTTTTGTAAGGAAGTCGGAGACCCAAAGTCGGAAACTTGATGTACTGCTCGGATCGCCACCAATCGTCATCAGGATGTCGTACCACTCCTTCGGAGACAGCATGTCCCGATGAACCGGGCTCGCTCGGTTTGTGATTACCGAAAGGGCATTGAACGGGTTGTGCCATAAATCTACAATGCTGGCCCGGTCCGGGTCGCTTCGCAGAGCTTCAATAGAGGCACGACCGGCGTCATACAAATCCGGATGCATGATGCGCAGCATGCCGGATATGATGATATGCGGATGGGCCATCTGGTCTAACCACATGTGACCGGCGGGGCCGGTGTTCGGATCGGTGAGCAAGCGAGAGACCAGTGGGACGTCGTTGGCGCCCTGCTAAACTTTGAGCGAACAATTCGGGAAGTCTATCCGGAGACGTACAGCGTGTCCGAGCCAGAACCACCCCGGCGAAAACGCGACACACGCCGGCTTAAGGTCGTCCCCCTCCTGCGGCTCCCGGAAATTCTCGATATTTTCCCTCCAGCTTGCACTCGCCTTGGGGCGATTGTGGGAGAGAAGTGGATTGAGACCGATTGTGGCGTGCCATATCGCTCTCTTGTACTCGGTCATAGACAGTTGGCGGTGGACATATGTATTCTGGCGTACCTGGAAGACCTCCGTGATCACGCCGGGAAGGTGCCACATCAGCACCCGGCCCTGATTGTCAGCGATGGTAAGCGGATCCTGGCAGTCCTCGTATTGCACTGCGGCCAATTCATCATCGTCCGGTACAGTGCATGGATGAGTCGACGCATCCCACTGTACAGTCCCTGCCTGGTGAATGAGTGGATGAGCATGTAGGCGAACGATTGATGAGTGCTCACGGCGATTCCTGTACGCGTCGGCCAGCATCTGCGCTGCACGCCTGGCCTGGCGAACCAGATAGACGTCGAGGAGCAGTCCGGGAAGCGGAGCGGCGCCGGGGCGCGATGCCGGCACCGAGAGGAAGTAGAGGTACAATGCCTCCAGATACGAGCAGTACTGGTTGTGCACTTGGGATACTGTGACCATGGTGGGGATTGATGCAGAGTCGTATGAGCGACGTCGCAAGTCCCCAGACAACGCCGGATGCACGTCCCTGAAAAAAAGCGGCCTCATGGTTACCTTGTGTATAGCATGTGGCTTCCTCATGGCCCAGATAAGGACTCGAAAGGATGGCTGACCCGCTGCATGATCACTACTTATCAACATTGATGGGAGATAATATTATCATCTGCCATCCATTTGTTGACGCATCGTCCAACCAGCCGACGTTCCTTTGGCTTGCCTGATCCAGGGCTCAATTCTAGCGGTAAGCCGGTGCTGTACAAGGCCGGCCGGAGCGTTGGAGACGAGAGGTGCCCGGCCGGACAGCCCTCCGGCCGGCACGTTGGAACGGGGGATGGGGTGCTACGGGTGCACCGCTGGGGGACACATGGGCAGGGTGCAGGCCGGCCGGAACGTTGTGGATGAGAGGTGCCCGGCCGGACAGCCCTCCGGCCGGCACGTTGGAACGGGGGATGGGGTGCTACGGGTGCACCGCTGGGGGACACATGGGCAGGGTGCAGGCCGGCCGGAACGTTGTGGATGAGAGGTGCCCGGCCGGACAGCCCTCCGGCCGGCACGTTGGAACGGGGGATGGGGTGCTCCGGGTGCACCGCTGGGGGACACATGGGCAGGGTGCAGGCCGGCCGGAACGTTGTGGATGAGAGGTGCCCGGCCGGACAGCCCTCCGGCCGGCACGTTGGAACGGGGGATGGGATGCTCCGGGTGCACCGCTGGGGGACGCAGGGGCAGGGTGCAGGCCGGCCGGAACGTTGTGGATGAGAGGTGCCCGGCCGGACAGCCCTCCGGCCGGCACGTTGGAACGGGGGATGGGATGCTCCGGGTGCACCGCTGGGGGACGCAGGGGCAGGGTGCAGGCCGGCCGAAACGTTGGAGACGAGAGGTGCCCGGCCGGACAGCCCTCCGGCCGGCACGTTGGAACGGGGGATGGGGTGCTCCGGGTGCACCGCTGGGGGACACATGGGCAGGGTGCAGGCCGGCCGGAACGTTGTGGATGAGAGGTGCCCGGCCGGACAGCCCTCCGGCCGGCACGTTGGAACGGGGGATGGGATGCTCCGGGTGCACCGCTGGGGGACGCAGGGGCAGGGTGCAGGCCGGCCGGAACGTTGTGGATGAGAGGTGCCCGGCCGGACAGCCCTCCGGCCGGCACGTTGGAACGGGGGATGGGATGCTCCGGGTGCACCGCTGGGGGACGCAGGGGCAGGGTGGAGGGCCGGCCGGAACGTTGGGGACGAGACGTATCCGGCCGGCCTGCCCTGCGGCCGGAACGTTGGTACGCTACCGTCTGCAACGTTGACCCGGACCCCTCCGGCCGGCGCCGGCCGCACCGTCTTAGACGGCCGAATCTCACTCCGGGTCTACCGTTCGAAACGTCAAATCTTACTCAGTAGGCTCTTTTCCTGTGGAAGGTCACGCATAACGGACTGAAAGTTGGTCCGTACTGGATGAAGATTCACGGATATGAAGAACGGGCACAATGTCAGCGCTGTGGAGCAGTAGAATCCGTACAACACATACTTTTTGAATGTCTGGCGACCGGCCAGGCCATGATATGGGACCTGGTTTGTGCCGTATGGGCGAAGAAACGTGCCCAATGGACGGACCTCTCCCTTGTGGACGTCCTCGCCCTAGGCCTGAAAGAATGGAAGGACGATAAAGGCCGCCTGCGCCAGGGAGCAACGAGACTCTGGCGAATACTTATATCTGAGGCAGTCCACCTCATCTGGAAACTACGGTGTGAGCGAGTGATCGGTCATGCCGACGATGAGAACTGGGAACACCACACAACACTGGTTGTATTTAAGCTACAATACGCTCTCAACAACCGGCTGGCGCTGGACGTTGAGTCTGCGAAGAAGAAGTATGGGAACTCTGCGCTGACACGGGACTTAGTCCACGCGACATGGAACGGAGTGCTGCAAGATGAAGCGGCTTTCCCGGACGACTGGACGAAATACACGGGTTTTTTAGTGGGTAGGACACCGGCACTACGAGTCGACCTCGAGCCGGACTGATGAGCCCCACACTGATTGTTAAATCGTGCGTAAATGGCATTTTTCACCCTGGTTTGGCGCTTATGGGGAAACTCATACGCAAGCTGGATGATCCGGGATGACCAATAGTCACCTGCGGACGTCCGTAACGGCCCTCCAAAAAAAAAAAAAAAAAAAAAAAAAAAAAACATTTTCGTAGTCTTCGAAGTACTACTCGACAATTTGTATGCTGTGATACCTCGAACACACATTATCATGTCCCTCAGCGACGCTGTTCCATATGTCAACACCATACTCATCACACTTCAAATCCGACGAACGTGTTCGGGCGGTATATAGTCCCGCATCAGCCACTCCCAGTCTCGACTGCCAAAGTCAGCGGCCGTCCGGAACTCGACTTTAGTCTGAGACCAAGGGTTGCTGAGCGTAACTCCGTCGTTCATACGCTCTACCTCGCGGAAGCACGGACCATGGCCTACGAGCCTAAGAGACGTGCACGCGGTTGCGAGCTCGAGCGTTTCCACGATCGGATGATGCTTGTTGTCGTCGATGTGGGTGAAGACGAGCTTCGGGAGGCCTGTCCACTGGAGAAGACCATGAGTATCACACTGGATGAGACAGCGATGAGGTAGTGCGTACCAGATCAATCCACGAGCAGTGTTGGTCCAAGTCGCTGTAGTCAAGCCAGAGACGTAACGCTGTTAAGCTTCCAGGGATTGCACGCTTCAAAGCGCAGAGCTGGGCCTCTCCGTTGACATGGAATGCGAGATGAATGCCTAGCACTTCCAAGTCCGGTAGTGACTGCATGACAAGAGATAAGTCATCGATGGTGCTTTGTTCATCATTGTAGTCCAGACACCGTAGTTTCTTCTTCGTCTGAATAAAGCCCCCAAACGCCCTCCGCTCCATTTCATTCGCGGAAGGCGAATAGAGCTTCAGGTGCGTGAGGTGAGGAAGCGCGTTGGGGTTTGCCGCTAGAGCAGCAAAGAGATCCGTTGAATCACCCGGGCAGTAGAGGACAATTTGCAGGGACTCGAGCCGCTCGTGGCAGTGATGAAAAAGGAGGGTGATGTTGCCGAGATGGCAGGCGTCGTCGATCGTCAGATCACTCAACTCCTGCAGGATATGTATCGGACACTCCGAAATCGCCTGGCTAGGGGCGGTGAGCCTAGCCAATGATCCTCTGCGGGCCTCAAGGAGCAATGCGAAGCGCGAACGATACGTGTCGTACGCCTGTGGGTCGACATCCCAGGGTTGTCGCTGAGCGTCATATAGGGCAATGTTCGTTGCTGCCAATTGCTTGAGAGCGTGCAGCGCATCCAAAGACTGAATCCTGAGAATAGTAATAATCGTGACAAGCAATATACGTTTAGAAGAATGTTGACACTCACGGCAGGTCGTATTCGCGAAGGTTGGTGCATGTCGACGCCAGTGTCTCCAGGAGCTCGGTGTCTGGGATCATGGTTGTGATGGTGGTGTTAGTGTACCACACGAAGGTGCGCAGATTGTGTAAAGCGCTGATGGCTTTCGTAAGACAGCCTTTCCTCGGACTATGAGCACCGCTAGCAATGCAAGGAACGATACTCGCTTACATAACTCGAATATCGCATCATTGGTTGCGAATGCGAGTATGTAGAGATGTTTGACATAAGAGGCGAAGACGGGATCAGTGATGATGCGTAGCAGTGCGGCGCACGACCGCTGCCCGCTACTCCGTATGGGTACAGTGATAGGGACACCGTAGATGAACTGCCAGGATCCGAACTGAATACGGAGTGTCGAGAAGAGCGAGCGAGCGGCGAGGTCGTGAAAACCTCTGGAGACAAAAAGGCATTCTCGTGTCGTGGACTGCGGAAGATATCTGAGAACTATCTGCCAGATTTCTGGAGGAATCTGACCAGACAAATGCATCGACATTTCCGCGAAGAAATGCTTCTTCCTGGGGCGAGCAATCTGTCAGTCGCACGGTTCGCATACAGATTAAACATTATCTCACTGCAAACGGACTTCCTTGTACTCAGCCTTCGTACAGTCTTGGCAGAGAGAATATCCTGATTTTTCCTTGTCGCGTTCCCGTTAGACAAGAGCGGAGACAGAGCCTGGGTCGAGGTAATAAGTGGAATAAGTTGCCTCCTAAGAACCTGGTGGCGTACGTACGTACTTACCACAAGGAGTCTCCCACGTTCATTATTGCGAGGACATATACTTACCGCGTGGTATTCATTTCATTTAAATCCCTAAATACTGGCACGACGGCACGTTCGACTCCAGCATCGTACGATCTACGATCGATCCCAGTGCGTCACTCCATTCGACGGTTCTCCGCAGGTTCTCCGGGCCGTCCGCGACGCAAAACACTTTCGTGGTTCCCAGGTATAAATCAGCCATATATCAGCACGGCCAACAGCTATCGCGTCGGTTGTCCATCCTTCTCGACTTCTGGTTGTTCACGATGTCGCACTTACCAGTGTTCAAGATTGTGCCTACGACGCAGAAGTACGACTGGGGGAAGATTGGGCTCTCCTCCAAAGTAGCGCAATATGCGGCAGCAGCGAAGATACCCGGGTTCTCGCTCGACGAGAAAGCTCCGTACGCTGAGGTATTTCTGCGCAGGGCATGTCAGAACTCTCCATCGCTGACAAGTTACGTAGCTGTGGATGGGTACTCATCCAAACGGACCCTCGCGACTAGCAGGCGCGGATATTACGCTCGCGGAACACCTCGCCGCACATCCGGAGCTCATGGGCCCGAAGGTTGTCTCGCGATTCCGCGACGCAGGTGCGGAAGAGGGCAACCTGCCCTTCCTCTTCAAGGTGCTCGCGATCGAGAAAGCGCTCAGCATACAGACGCACCCGGACAAGAAGACGGCGGAGGCGCTGCACAAGGAGAAGCCGAACGTCTACAAAGGCGCGTCGTGCGATTCTGCTACTAGTCCCCGTCGGGGAAACACATCCCGCTGAGACGCGAGCACGTCCCGCAGATGCGAACCACAAGCCTGAGATGGCGCTTGCCCTCACGCCGTTCACCGCGATGTGTGGTTTCCTCCCGCTGTCACAGATCGCTACCTACCTCACGTCGACGCCCGAGTTCGCCGCGCTCATCCCGGAGACCATCACCACGAAGTTTCTCGCTGCCGCGTCCTCTGCCGACCCAACCAGCCCCGAGGCGAAGACAGTGCTGAAGGACCTCTTCTCCGCTCTGATGACTGCGGATGAGGCCGCTTTCAAGGCTAGCCTGGCGGACCTCGTGAAGCGGTACGAAGCAAGCGGCGCAAACGCGGACGAGGCAGGCGTCAAGGACCTCGTCCTGCGTCTCAACAGCCAGTTCCCGGGCGACATCGGCGTGTTCTGCGCGTTCATACTCAACTACGTGAAGATGCAGCCGGGCGAGGCGATCTTCCTCGCCGCGGGCGAGCCGCACGCATACGTGTCGGGCGGTGAGCATCGCCTCTCACGAACTCTCTCAATAAGCACTGACGCGGCACGCAGATATCATGGAGTGCATGGCGACCTCGGACAACGTGATCCGCGCGGGGCTCACACCCAAGCTGCGCGACATCCCGAACCTCGTCTCCGGACTCACGTACGGCGCGGGCGACGCCAGCCGGCACATGGTCAAGCCCGCCGCCTTCGACTCCGCGGCACACACGGCGCTCTACAACCCACCCATCCCCGAATTCAGCGTCCTCCAGGTGCTGATCCCGAGCGGCGAGACGGAGGTGCACCCGCCAATCGAGGGACCAAGCATCGCTATCGTGACAGAGGGCAAGGGCGCACTGGAGTGGGCGGGGGAGAAACTGGTTGTTGCTGAAGGCGATGTCCTCTTCATCGGGGCTGGGACTGGTGTGAAGCTACTGGCGAGCGGGGATGGCCAGCTGGCCATTTACCGCGCTTTTGTGGAGGCGAGTTGAAAGAGGACCTGATGTCGGGACGCAAACGGACGGGAAAGAAGACAAATGGTTCGTGTATAACTAGACATGGGATGAGATAACATGTGAATGCGCGAGAGCGGTGAATGTCCCTGCCGCCGTTGTTTACATCACGAAATCTCGAATCAAAAGTTGAACTGGAAGCCCAGTGGCGAACTCGATGTGAGTACTCGGAGAAGGAGCCTGAGGTTACTCGCGTACTCTGAGTCTGCTGATCGCACGCAGCGGCTCGTCTAGCCTGCAAGACTTTGCACATATGGCTGTAAGTCGAGGAGCGACCGTGAGATGTCTGAAGGTTGCCTTGTGGATGCCACGGCGCAACCACAGGAACCTCGTGCCACGGTGCCTTGCCCAGTGGCCTGGCGAGGTACAGGGCTTGTGGCGTGAGAACTTGAAATGTTCCTCGCGGACCGCCGCCCTGTGGCGCGCAGAACCGATTTTGAGGATTATCCCCATCATCCATGCCCCGGAACCTTCTGAACTGTCCGTTGGAAGCCGACACATACATACCCTTTGAAGATCCACTAAGTGCAGTTCGCGACAGGGACTGACCAGCGCACAGAGTCGCTTCGCCGAGGTATGCCATATGGATACCAGATTTGGGAGCGGTGGTAAGCACGGACCTACTACACAGGTAGTACGTCACTGACCGTCTGTCGGAAACAGATTTGAGGTGCATACGCCATATTAAGGGACGTCTAGTCCGCCCATGTCGTTCCGATTTGTCTCCGTCGCGCCGGGCTCGTCTAGGACAAGATTCACCATATCGCGACCCATCGTGTGTCTGCTCCCCACGGTCTGTCTCGCATGCTAACTGTTCTATCCGTGTTTGCGAAGTTTCCAACAGATGCAGGAGCAATATCAACACTGTGCCCTGGGTACCTGATCGCCCGGCGACCAGAGCATCGATTCCTCAAGGTCCGGGACCTGCTTCATTAACCCTCGACCGCCGGCGTTATGTAGTCCAGGATACTGGGGCACGCCGAACAGTATACAGAGTCCAGTGAGTCATTCTTCTGGGTAGTGTTCGTGCTAATATTTGCTGGCAGCTATCAATGTTCACCCGCAGACGCGGAGTTCCAAGTTGTCGATTAAGCGGCTTAACTTGCCTCTTGACGTACATGTCCACGAACGGGGCGCATAACTCCCGGAGTTCGTATCTGCAGTTCTTGATTCTGCGGAAGCAAAGACGAGTTTGGCCTGACATGGTTGTCAGGCAGCTACTTCGATATTCTAGCTTCGCTTCTTCTGTCGAGGGAGGACTGAAGTCCCTTGTTTGCAGGTGCCGTCCGAGTCGACATCTATTATCATCGGTTTCAAACCCCACCGAATTTGCCCGTGAGATGCATCGCGAACTGGGAACTGAATAACGCTGGGAAGTCGCCAAGTTCAAATTTCTGCCAACACAATATCGAGGACCATCGGTTTTAGGGACGAAGGCCCGCTCGTCGTGATTGCTGTTGGACTACTGCAACTTGCTTCGATCAGCTGTATATGGATTGGATATGTCCTGTGGATGCCTTTTCGTACAGTCTCCGATCCCGCGACTACATGGCATTTGTAGTGTCGTGGTTGTATGCCTTCAGTCCGCGGATTCAAGGGAACAGTCAGCGCTGTCGCTGGGACCACAATTTCCCGCTGACATCCTCATCACGAAGACACCGATCGTGCCGCGAACCGGAGGAACATTTGGGCATGTTCTCTTGTCGGACTGGTTGCGGACTGGCCGTGGAACGCCGTCTGCGGTACTTACATATCTCCATAGGTTCGTGCGGCTGAGAATAGGCCATTCGGCCACGCCCCCGATCGTCGTTGCGGAAGTACCCCCTGCGATGACAACGCCGTCGGCAATTGCTTATGTCGTTTGTTGTCATGCAGAGAAGGTTCCGTCGCCCCGACCGTCTCTTCGCGATCCAGGACTGCCCAGGAGGATATGTAATCCCCTCCGAGACGCGCTTGGTGTGCGAATATCGATCCATGGGCGCGAGATTTTGCCTGGCCCAGACAGCATTTCTCGGGAAGGTTTTCCAGGACCACCGCTCGAAAGCTTCTTCATGTTATACACGCCGCTGACCGTTCACGACAGCCAGCCTGAGCACAAGATGGGGAGCCTTGCCGGTACGGCTGTCTCGCGCAGCTCGCATCGGTACCGCCCAAGTACCGCTACACTGGAACCTATCGGCGTGTCTGGCTCCGGGGGCCGCAAAACTTCCTGATCAGGCAATCAGCGGTGAAAAAGAAGACGACAAAATGGGCGCTTGAAGGCGCTGTGTACGACCCACCTCCACTCTGGGCCTCGCCACCGGGCAGATGACGCGCGGTATTGTGAGCTGTCCCCAGCCCATTGGGCCGGCGCGCGGGCGGTCGCCTTCGCAGCCTTATTTGACATCGTCGTCAATCTTCCTCTTCGCCGCGCTATATTCGGCGGGGCAGCAGACGCGGCTGCCCTCCCTTTTTTCCCCCGGTCTTCCCTGCACTTGCGACGCCGGCGTGGATGGGTTAGCTTGGACGTGGGTTATTGTTGTGTCCGCGAGACTTGTCTGCGCTCTTCTTCCACTTCTTCTCTCCGCGACGCACACGACACGCGCACCTTGCGACGGCGACGACCATGTCGCCGGACGGCAAGCTCAAAACGGGAGACAGCCTCCTGAGCGAGTTCCTCTCGGATGTGCAGACGATTCGGTACTCAGAATGTCAGTGCATGCTGCGCAGCAGCTGACAGGATCTGCTCACCTGTGGGATGTGAACAGTGGCGTCGAGTACTATCATTATTTTCGACCACTGTGCGTGACCAGCTCATCTGTTCTAGTTGCCAATGCTGATTTTCTTGGCTGCAGTATTGACACTCGACCAGGAGGTGAGTGAAGTCGAGTGCATGTTGCGGTAGCGGATGCTCAAGAATGCCATGCTAGTACAACTTGATTTGGGTGCGCTTCAGTTATGCCCCCAATCAAATATCAGTGAGATTCATGAATATCGTAGACCGCACCATGGTCCATTGGGAAATGGCTGTTCTTGTTTGTCAGTCTTTTTCCCCGCCGTCTCGTCCGTCCCTCACATATCGCATCCGTAGAACCGGTACTACACGCTCCTTACAGTCATGTAAGCGCCCCTTATTGCCCTCCGTTCCTCGGTGTCACTCACCAAATCTTAACTGGTCTAACAGCTTCAACAATTTCGGTGGGAACGCGCCTATCCGTCATGAAAACCCGTCGCTGATGGTCACGATGGTCCTTTCCTGTAGCCCTCTTCAGCGATTATCTTAGTGATTCAGTGAGTCGTTTTGAACACTGGTCACCTTGATCATCGTTGCTCACCAAGACATACAGTTGTAGGTCCTATCATAGACCCGGCAGTGAATCTTTGCTAATCGCTTTGCAGTTGTACATATCTTGACGGAAGCCTACGCAGAAGAATCAGCTGACGCAGCACGCAGGCCTCAACTGGTACAGATGGCAAGGTTGGACGGGCGTTACCTCGTTCATCATCGCCGAGCGTATGTGTCTCCTTCCCCCCATCTGTGCACCTCGTACTTGTGCCGCTGGCCTTCCCGGCTCTTGTGTCTTCGCCAACGTGACGCTCACCTGTCTTACAGTCATTCTACTCCTTCGGCTCTATGCCCTTTACTTCCTCAACAAGCGCGCGCTCGTCTTCATGGCCTGCACGTCGCTCGTCGCTTTTGCAGCTAGCGCGGGTATAATGGGAAGCCTTCTCGCAAAAATAACTGGTGCGTCCGTGCATGGTCGATCTCTTCGCTTCATCTTGTTGAGTTTCCAAACACTTCTCTGGTCACAGCGACGGCACATCCCTTCCCAACGCACCCCACACCGTATTGTGCGGCGTCGGGCCTTTCTGCATCTGCATATGCGTTCTGGATTCCCATGCTCATCTCCGAGTGCGTTCTCTGCGCGCTCGCGGTAAGCCGTTTCGTTCACATGCACCACACGCGCGCCGGCGCAACGCTCTTCCAGAATGGGCGCAGGCTTGTGGTGGCCCTCATAAGGGACAGCGTCTGGTATTTCGTCGTGTGAGTGCGGAATCTTCGGAGCTGGTGCGCATACACTGTGCTTCCAAGTGCTGACTCGCCGTTGTCTCTGCAGGATGTTTGCCACGTACCTCGCGAACACAATCGTCTTCGTCGTTGGCACTGCGACAGAGATCGAGATCCCCATAGGCTTTTCGGTCGCGTTCGCTTGCGTGCTGGCGAACCGGCTGTGCTTAAATGCGCGCGGGATGGTACGCCGCGAGCGCTCTGGCTCATCATCTGATTCAACATCAGAGTCTTACATGACGCCTGAGTACGTCTCCTCACCTCGTGCGATTCTACAACGTCCCTACGACTCCGTCGAGGACTGGGAGGAGGGCGCGTACGAGAATGAGGAAGGGGATCTTGACTATGGGTATGGCGGGAGTGGGTACGACGGGCAGTCCTCTAGACGACACATCATGAGCGATACAACGCCGACTCGCTCGCCAGTCACGGCGGAGGTCGAGGGCGGCGAAAGGCTGGACGCGATACAGATGCGGGAGCTGCGGCGAATGCGGAGCACGCGCGAGCGGGGATATGGCCTGGGAGCCCGGTGGGCGGAGGGCCTACGGGCAGGTCGGGGGAAGCGAGAGGGCATCGGCGAAGAAAGTCATGCGGAACGGGAAGGCGTCGGGTTGGCCACTATATGACGGGTTGTGGCCGAGGGACATTGTTGTACTTCTGTGACCGGTGTCGGTATGTGATATGTGGATGTACTCGCTGTTGAAATTATGAGCTTGCACAGGATTGCGTAGGGTCTTCCAAGCTTCAAGTCGCAGGTAGCGCGTGCGCTTGGGTGGGCGAGGCAAGTAAAGCGAGTCACTGATGCCAGTGACATCGTTGGCGAAGTCTTCCCGCCATGTATGCGCGGCCACGGTGGTGGAACCACAAGATGGGGGTTGGGGGACGAGGGCGCAAAGGGTACCTCGTGGGTGGGAAGGGTAGCCTTTATACGCGCACTCAACTCCAGAAACGTCTCTGGAAGCGTGCAGATGTGAAGAGCGAAGAGTGAAGACGCCGATGGGAGGTTCGAGTGTCGTCATTGAGCAGGACGCGAGTCGTATACGGAAGTTGTGTTGCCTAATCAAGTACCGTCCATTCCTTACGTCCTCCCGCGTGCGTTGACAGGCAGTGATCTAGATGCGCCGACGAAGACCTGACACCTCGCCGAAAGTATCGCCTCATGCCTCGCAGCCTAACTGTACAGGCACCCACGACGGCTTTGACATAAGTACCCAACTCGGTAGCCTCGACGGTCTATAACTTGGAGACACAATATTGAATTTCGAGTGAGCACCGATCAGCGTTCTCTGCGCGTTCGCTGGGAACTTAACAACTGCTTACTATCGCTTACAGCGCCCATCCAACTGGCAGTCCTTCGGCCCTGTACTCCATGTAAGGCTGCAACTTGCGAATGGTTGCCCGCTCATGTTTAATTATGGCGGTGCATGCTAGCCTACTTCCAGTAGTATTGCTGGCATTGATTTGCTGTGCGGTGTGCATACCGCCGACTGTCAGAAGGTGACTAGAAGATCGTGTATGACGTTGATCGGCGCTCTCGGTGCAGCGCTTCGAAGCACGCATGTTTGGCTGTGGCCATGGGGTATGCCGCGATGCCAGGAGTCTCTGCACTACTGACTGCAACCTCATGAGTATATAAGCCCGGAGTCATGATGTCCTACATACCGCTTCTCTTGACCTAAACCTTGTCCGTCTGAGTACACAACTGAGCGATTCCAGTGATCCGCACACTACTACTGCGTCCTGATCGCCTGCTGTTGGCATCCAATTGAAGATGTCTGGCACGATGTCGGCGGATGAGTACACGTCTATCATCTATTCCCAGTGAGTGTCTATCTATCACAGCATTGCCCGTACTGTCGCTGACGACGACTACACCTGTCTTTGTAGGTATAGAGACACCTTATGCAATCTTGCCAGCACATGTAAGTCTGACCGAGTTTGGCTAGCCGTTCGAAGGATTGACAGCGATTGATCTGGACACGTCCCTGTCAAGCTATGCTACTGTACGACTACATCCTGACGATTGATCAAGAAGCGGATCTTATTTGGAAGAAGCCAAACGGTGCCTCCATTATCTTCGGTTTGAACCGCATCGTAACTCTAGGGCTCATATGCGAGTCTGCTACGGGGCAGCTTCACCACTATACGTACGAGAGGTAAGCAGTCTACAGCGTTCACGTGCCCCACCCGTGTTGCTCACGAGATATAGCTGCAAAGGCTTGACGATACTCTCTGAGGTAATCATTCTGCTCTCATACGCTATTTGGGCGGGTAGGCTTCCAAGTCGAGTGTCAGCGAAGACGTCATGGGCTCACCGCACATCGCAGTTGTCTCCGCTCTCAGAGTATACGCTCTCACGAAGAGAAACTGGTGGCTGTCGACGGTGACTTTCGTGTTAGGGATAGCCCCGTTGGCAGTTGACCTGGTGAGTGCCGCCACCGTCGTTCGGTCGCCATGCCACGTACCTCATGCTGATCACTGAATGTGCATGTCCATTCAGTACGTCGGCACCACAATATCCTACCGCATCATCCCTCTGGGGAATGAAACCTTATGTCAAGAGGACACCAATGTCAACCGAGGATTTTATCGGAAGTACGTACAGTCATAGGACCTATGTGCACCAGCGAGTTCAACTGATTTGACTGCCACGATAACAGATGTGCGATTGTTTACTGGTCTTACCTTCCACCATAGCCTGATCACCCGATCGACAGCACTCATCATCTGCCGCGGATGCAGTATAGTCTCAGACCTCTTAGTCCTGGGCGTGACTATGTATCACATACTACCCCGTTCGCTCGTGTTTTCGCGAATGATGTGGTCCAGAAAGTCATTCACACGGATATTACTCAGAGACGGTAGGCTGCATGTAGTCGCCGGCTTGTTGACACGCTAACATTGGACAACAACTGCATCGCAGGGATTTTATACTTTGCGTATGTCTCCGGTATGATGGCACAGACAATGGACTGACCTTGTTTCAGGACGCTGACTACCCTCAATGCGCTAGAAATCGCTCTGTACCTGACCGCGGTGCGTCGTTCCGGGCGAGTCAAACCCACCTTAAACCCGATGCTGACGAGCTTGACAGACCGACGACTTCATCAACTACTTCATCGCGCCGTATGTATCGAGCCTCGTCCACTGCATCCGCACGGATCTGCTCACCCGGCCTATCAAACAGCGTATCGACCGTCTTTGTCTCTCGCTTCATGTTGAACCTCCGCGCATGCGCTAGCACGCCTGTCATGGTTCTAGACTCGCAGGCTCACACCCTGAGCTCGACCGAGCACTCAACGTCGCAGACATTGACGCTCGCATTTACCCCGGTCGCATCATGTGCGTGTCCCGGATCCCGCCAGCCACTGGGCTTGGAAGCAATACTGACGACGTCATGCTGGCAGACCCCGACACAGTGATACCTTTCGAAGGGGACACGGCTGAACAAGCCAGACGCATGTCGAGCGCGGGTGACAGCGTGCTTTGGGACGACAATTCGCTAACAGAGAGCTTCGAAATGGAGCCTCGGTAAGGTAAAGATCGAAACCTTTGTGTCCGTGTATGTATGTGCGACTATCTGGCTAGCATACTTAGTCCGAGCGGACTGCTGTACCTACCCCATTACCAATGACTGGAACAGCGCCGACGGTCGAGGTGAGCAACTTGAACCCGGTAGTTCTGCCAGGTTCTCCAAGATCGTCCGCGTAGAAGACATGGTGCATGATCAACTCATTGCATCCGGTGCTCTCCGAATCGCCACCGGTGCGCCAGATGCGCCATGATGCGCCGTGAACGATAGTCCCCAATCAGCTCTGCGCGCTGCACTGCTATAGGCCAGGGACCGCCTTGGCACCATTGATGCTGTACGGCCTATGACGACCGTAGTGCTTCCGGCGAGCGCTACACGTGCTTCGAGAGGCATCATGATCAACGGCTCTGCCGGGGTACATAATTGAGTAGGTTGAGAAGCTGCGCGATGTTCTCCAGGAACCGTTCAGTGTTCGCTCGTCCAACTGCCAACTTCTCTGTCAAACGACTGTCAAACGAGGGAAAAGCCGTCGACCATGACGCCGGAAGACATCACGCCTGTCATGTTTTCGCAGTGAGTACCTACTCTACTCACTGATGGCAGTACTAGGCACGCGCGATCGCTAAGGATCGCTATGCAGATATCGAGTCGCCTTGTGCAATTTTGCTAGTGCTGGTCAGTCCAACACAACATTGCTTTGATCAATGTTCGCAGTTCACTGAAACGTCAGAATGCCAGCTATGTTGCTCTATGATTACATCCTGACGATTGATCGAGAGATGGAACTCATCTGGAAAAACGCAAATGGTGTCTCCGCCATCTTCGTTTTCAACCGTGTCATAACCCTGGGGCTCGTGTTTGCGTACGCCGCGCAGTTTCAACACTACTCGTATGGGAGGTAAGCACTCTATGCACTGATTGTGCGTGTTCTCTGCCAATCGCGCTGCTTATGGACATCAGCTGCAAAGGTGCTTCAATAGTTAACGTGGTCTTCAGCCTGCTCTCATACATGATGTGGGCGGGTACGTCCTCCAGGCTTCCAATATTCAATCGCTCACCGTTCATCTAATCTAAAGTCGTCTCCGGGCTGAGAGTATACGCTCTCACGAAACGAAGCTGGGCACTGTCGGTATTGACATTCGTGTTGGGGATGGCACCATGGGTACCAGACGTGGTGAGTCCTAGCGACTCTCTGTCCTCGCAAGCTGTCGCCGCCCGTCCCGAGTCGGGGCTGCTCCTAACCAACGTACATGCCTATCAGTACATCGGAGCCACACTATCCTTCGATGTTATCTCTCTGCCAGTGGGGAATCGGGATCTGTGTCAAGAAAATACTACCCTGAGCCAGGGATTTCAACGGAAGTAGGTACCGTCATTATTCTCATGTCTGCGCCGAGTCGAACTGAGTGATCTTCCTTTTACAATTGCAGGGGTGAGAGTGAATGCTGATCTTGCCTAGTAACTGCTTGAACGTCTGACTTGCAGCACTCATCATATGCCGCGTGTCTAGTATCATATCCGACCTCATCGTCCTCTTCGTCACCATTTATCGCATAAGCCCCCGATCGTTCATATACTCACGAAAGATGTTCACGAAACGGTCATTTGCGCAGATACTGCTCAGAGACGGTGCGTCATCCTGTAGTCGTTATGTTGCGCTAGCTCAATGAACTGGCAATGTACAACGCTGTTTGACGACAGGTTGTATATACTTTGTGTGCGTGTTTGTCGCATCTCTCTCGAAGCACGTAACGACGATAGTCCAGGATGTTGACCACCTTTAATGCGCTCGAAATCATCCTATATCTTGCCGCGGTATGGAGCATCTGTCTCTGTACGAAGCGACGCTTACGAAGTCACTAGGCGAAGGACTATATCAACACCTTCATTGCTCCGTATGTGCTCGGCTCATTATGTGTGCACGAAATCACTTAGACATACCCATACCACAGCATAGCAGCCGTATCTGTGTCTCGGTTCATACTGAACCTCCGCACTTACGCTGCCGCGCCCAGCACAAGTCTAGACTCGCAGGACGACTCCGAGGGCACCACCACGGCTAGGGAATCGGCTTCACAGACACTGACCTTCGCATTTGCTGCCGTGACACGTACGTTTCTCATGATCTAAGGCGTAGTCCCTGCTCGTTCGAGCCCACACTGATGAACCGACTCAGATCTCGACACGATGGTTTTTGTCGAAGACGACGCGACCGAACATGGTACATGTGTGTCGTACGTAGGAAGCAGTGTCGTACGTCATGAGGAAGATGTTACAGGTAGCATAGAAATGACACGCCGCAGGTAGTACAATCCTCCAGCAGAGAGCATACCGTACGGCAGCTTCACAATGGCTCTTGCCAGAGCCAGACTGTCGCCCGCCGGGTTTACTGTACCTTAATTCATGGCTATAGTAGTACTATAATATGCGCTAATTCTGGGGACAATAAAAGGGCTCGAAAAGAATCTTGTCCCGGATCACGGACTGGCCTCGCTTCAGCACATTGACTGCCTTGTATGCGCTTGAGATCGCTCTGTGTTTGACTGCGGTGCGTGATTTATGGCGAGTTATCCCATCTTCAACTCGATGGTGACGTAGCTAATAGACGAACGAATTGATCGATTGCTGCATCGCACCGCATAATGTCCTGCTTCATCGACTCCAACTGCGTGAGGTTGCTCACACTAGTAACAGACAAATGCACAGCATAGAGACCTACTATTTTTGTTTCCTTTCGTATCGAACACTGACGATATCGGGTCATAAGTCGCAAGTTCCTGACGCGCCCGAAGGCCTCCCAGTCAGAAATCCAGCTGTGACACAGACATAGGCTTTCACCTTCTGTCCTGCGACGTCAACGTGTCCCATTGTGATGTAAGTGACAGTGTCCGCCAGCTCGGCCCGATGCTGACGACATGGACTAGACATGGACGTACTAGCCACTCAGGCACTCGCACAGTAGCATAGCACTCCTGTTGCTACACACGCATACCGCCTTCTACGAGACTGCCGCCTTCGTGGTCTTCTCCTCCAAGGAGCAGTCTCATCTGCTGTCATAAATACGGCCTGTCCGAGTCGATCTATTACATCCTTACACGTCGTACCCGGACTCACCCAGTGAACGTGAACGGCGACCACTGCACCACATTAGTACAACACGTCCCATGACTGATTTTTCGGTATGCGCTGTATAGAGTGGGTTGCATCTTGGATATTGTCACCGACAGTTCAGACAGTACTGCGTAGTAGTGCTCGAGTAGTGCTATTGCGGATGCCAAGGTCGACCAGTAGGTAAGTACATACTATATCGGGCCGGGATCTCGGCCACCTTAGCACTCGACAAGCCCTCCTAACTGTGTATGGGCCGTAATGCCCTAGATCCTTGTTCAGAGGTATGCTAGAACACCTCAGGAATACGAGAAAAATAATAGAAAAAATTCAGCATCATTGAGTGGAGCTCAGTACACAAATTTCTTGTTGAGAGTAGGGTGAGCCACACAGACTAGGAAGTCGGCCACACCCTTGGAAATAGCTCACTACATTGAAGAGGCCCATCTGCATGGACTGTAATCCTTGAAGATATATTCAAGTATATGATTCTGATTATTTCTAGGCCGCAATGCGCCAGAAGCCGAGTGAGGTACCCAGTCATGGGCGAGGGGTTCGGGATCCCAAGCCACTGCTTACCAAAAATGGGTATCATCGGACGAGATGATTTTTCCTGCACCCGAATCTTGGTGTATTGGCTTGAAAGTTTGTACAGGTAGTAAAGAAATGTATAGAATCATGATACAATTTATCTCATGGCTGTAGAGTAGGTGGTAATTGGATGAGACTCGAGTGACCGACTACCTAGGGTGGCCGAGATCCTGACCCGATATAGTAAGTCAAACCATAAGTTCTGTCGTTTCTAAAAACATTTGTCTAAAATTCTATAGGCTCTCGCCACAATCACGTGTTCCAATCTACGTCACGGTGTTGTGCGCTAAGCGCTTTCAGCACGTCGTCCGACTTGTCACTCGTCGTCCGTCGTCCGAGTCCTCTTGCAATCGTCCTTGCAATTATGACCTTTGTCTCTGCCCCAAAGCTATTCAATGCTGGCGACATATTCTGGTCGAGCGGATCAGCCGTAGCAAGTATCAGCCATGCGTCCTGGCGTATCCTCGAAAGTAGTGCCCGTAGGTACTACTGTCTCTCACCTTCGTGTTGTCCTCTGCTGATGAATCGATGACAGGCCTGGATGTCGTATGAATCGACTACCAGATGTCCCGGGGCTGTGTAATGTCTCTCGCTGTTATTGTTCAATCTGCAGAACAGCCGGAGAATGTAAGAAGTGCGATACACTCTATCATGACCATCCACGACTCGGAGTAGCGCGATGTGGTCCCTCTTGATCTCCGACCTATAATCAAGGTTTATGTGGACAGGAATTTCCCACCAAATACTCATCATACTCCGAATGCTCGCAGGCTAAGTATATCAGCGCGGAACAACGGGCGCTCACCCTGTATTGCATAGCCCACAACCTCGGCTGCAATCCCTGTGGGCAGTGAAGATGAGATATCATCTGTCGGAGAGCCTCCTCAACAGCTACAGTTGCGCCAGTGTCGTAAGTCTGCCATCGAACTGCGGTGAGGGCTAAACTTGTGCCATAAGATGCACGGCACGGAGTATATAGGTAGCTTCCAGCGGTGACAAAGTGCGTGCAACGCCTTCTGTTTACGAACTGCAGATATGTCCACTACCAATATCAACGAAGCATTCATTGCCGTGTCGCATCAGCAGTACGTGTACACTACTCAATGTCGTCATTCCGTTATGTGACAATCTATCCGTAGATTTGTGAACGTCTGCTGCACAGTAGCAGCGATAGGTAAGTTGGGGAGTAACCAGGCACGAGCTGATATTGAAATCCGAGTTGTGCCTTCACAGTTGTGCTGGTATACGATTACGCTCTGACCATCGACCGAGAAATCGGCTTATTTTGGTTCGAACGGAAGCTGTCGGGTGCAAATATCATCTGCGCACTCGCTCGAACTGTCGCACTCGGTTACGTGATTGTAGCATGTCTCGTCAATCCAACATCCTGGACATCTACAAGGTGCGCCGTCAATCGTCATGTCTGTTACGCAGCTTCATAAACGTGCTATTGTGCATAAGGTGTAAGGGTGTGCTACTAGCATCCGACTTACTCGTGCTGTTGTCATACCTCATCTGGGCAGGTTCGTTATGCGCGCTCGTCATGATTAATCCAGTTGATGAAACCAACCTTACGAACTAGTCGTGTCCGCTTTCCGGGTGTACGCCCTCACACACCGAAAATGGGCATTAACGATTTTGACATTGGCTCTCGGGATTGTCCCCGCGGCGATGAACGCAGTGAGCGATTCAAACGGCTGCTGGGATACTTCATCGGGTCTCAACTATGTCACAGGCCACAATATCCACCTCGGCTTATCAGGTTCAATCGCTCGGAGGCAAGACTTTCTGCTGGGTGTCCAATCCTAACCACCCAGCGATGAGTAGTAGGTACGTGCGGTTGAGGTTTTTCGATGTGTTCTCTCCGCGATTCTGACAACATCACTGCTCGCTCTGTTCCTTCCAGGCGTGCGGCAAGCTCATATGCATGACAGCTTAAATGCTTCCTGACGTCGTTCTTATCCTTTAGTTGTGCTTCTGATAGCCCCTGCATGCGGCATGATATCTGATATCATCGTGCTTCTCATCACGTTCCACTGCATTCGTCCACTCCCATGTCTACGCATGTGGGCTCGTTCTTCTGAACGGGGCCCTTTGCAAGTTCTACTGAGGGCCGGTGAGTACAATTGATACACAGAATACGTAACGTGTGGATGACATGCTGACCCGAACAGGGGCGCTATATTTCGTGTACGTACCACATTGCCTCTAGGGTCCACATTATGATGTCTCCGCAGCGTCTTGACGACCCTGAATGGTCTGCAATTCATCATATACATCAAGACGGTAAGCTGTTTGACATCCACTTCATGTTCTTCCGGATATATCTCTGACTGACATTACTATAGCCTACAGGATTTGTGGACTCGTTCATCGCTCCGTACGTTTCGCAACGCAATGGCTGCTATATCATAATGCTAAATATGTATCCAGTGTGATTCTTATCTTTGTGCCCCGCTTGATGCTCGATCTTCGGGAATCGACGGTAGCGCCCGTCATACATGCGAGTGGTAAGTGCTGTGGTTTCTGCTGTCAGTTACATAGCAGTTAACGTTGAATCAGAGGTATTCGAGATGACTGGCAATAGCTATGATACAACAGCGGCCGGAGAGCATGTAGTAAACGATGTCGAAGACCCATACGGCTTTGCATGACCTGTAAGCGGGTTTCTCTTGTCCGATCATTTATGGAGTCACGCAACTTTGGGTGGGCGACAATATTGTCTTGCTTCGACTCCGAGTCAATGTGGAGAGCCCCCACGTCACCCTTTGCCCTTTGAAGTTTGATTATCAGCTCGTTGGTGGTGGTTCTTGTCGCATCTGTCCAAACTTGCTATGATCACGGCGACAGAACCCAATGTCATCAAGTCTCCTAGGACTGATCCAAATTTGGAACATCATCCCTGTGGAGTATGATCATACAGTTGCATCTCTGAAAGAGGCCCGGTTCTTGTGGGACGCCCACTCGTGGAGTCGTGCTGGTGCCGGTATCAAAGCTTACTGCGATGTTGAAGAGCGACCGCCGATGGCTGAGGTGAGTCATCCGGTTTTGGTATACTGTGTTTTCCTTGTTCAAGTCGCAGACTCCCAGATCCCTCGCAATGTCCTCGACTGTGCGACCCAAGTACCAGAGCGCGAGATAGTGTATCGCCAAGATGATCCAATGGCCCATTGACACGTACAGCTTCCTGTCACATCTAAGCACTCGCAATGACTTTGAGTTTGACTCTCACGCCTCAAAGCTGTGCTTCCTGTAAGGTTAGAGTTCCATCTCTCCACGAGTAAGTTACATAGCTGAGCTGATTTAAACGGAGTTCAGCGAACAACTTGAAGTCTCACCACTCGGTTCTCAAACCCTTCTCCTCGCACAAAACGAATCATGTCCTTAGTGACGGCAGAAGAAGAGACTGCAGTTTTGTTGCGTGCGCAGTGAGTACAGATACACAATAGCACTCTCCGTACAATTCACTACTGATGGTCGCGCTTGACATCTTGAGTAGATATGTGGACGCCTTGTGCGGTTTCGCCTTCGCTGGTAAGTTCAATTAATCATCGGATAGTCCGATTATTCTCAGACGGATAATGCACATACGTCTCAGTCGTACTTCTATATGACTACGTATTGACGGTTGGTCAAGAGGTAAATCTCATTTGGAGGAACACAACTGGTGCCACTGGCATCATCTTCATCCTGAACCGAGTCATAACACTGGGGCTGGTATATGAAGGTGCCGTACAGCCTCGAAATTACACATACGAAAGGTAAGCATACGATTACTCCGATCTGGAGACCGTGTTGCTCATGAGGATCAAGCTGCAAAGGCATCACGATCTCATCTTTGATATGCGTTCTATTCTCGTATCAGATGTGGGCGAGTATGTATACAGTCTGGCTGTTGGTTTCCGCCTTCGTCATGACTTTGTTCATTGTGTGTCTAGCTATATCTGCGATCAGAGTATATGCTCTCACCGGGCGGCGTCTGTGGCTGTCGGTGATGACGTTCGCACTGGGGATGGTACCATGGGGACTGGATGTGGTAAGCACCGTTCGAGTTTCATGATGCCAGTAGTGGTCGTCGTCGGACTCAAGATACCACTGTCAGTACACGAATACTACGTTGTATTTCACAGTCGTTCCTGTCGAAAGTCAGCATCTGTGCCAAGAAGACGACAACGTAACCAATGCATTCATAGAAAAGTAAGTACCTGTCGGCTCTGCGTACTCGTGCGTTGTACCGACTTTGTTGACACAAATTCAGAGGTGCGAGCATGTGCAGGGGTTACGTTGTAGGATCTCTTGACGATCTGGAGCATAGAGCTACCCATATGCCGTGCATGCAGCATAGCATCCGACCTTATAGTTCTACTTGTGACTATATATAAGGTACTCCCCCGTCCATTCGTATTCTCGCAAATCTCCAGCCACTCCTTTACGCGGATGTTACTCAGAGATGGTAAGCACTTATCTATCTGTTGATCTCAGATACGTTGATCGCCCTGACGATCGAACATGTACTTATAGGGATTATGTTTTCGCGTATGTCCTGAGGCCCGTGCGTTTACCTCCTGTTTCAAGGATTGATGTTAGCTCAGGATGTTGACCACCCTCAATGCTCTCGAGATTGTTCTGTATCTGACGTCGGTATGTCCTAACCGTCCCCTTTTATATGATAGCTGAGTTTGACGACGGCAACAGACGAGCGATTATGTCAACTACTTCATCGCGCCGTACGTACCCAACTCTACCATCGGTATATATGCGTAAGGTTGCTCAGCCTCCCGTCCAGCATATCAACCGTCTTCGTCTCTCGATTCATACTGAACCTACGTGAATGTGCTGCTGTATCGGTCGTGAAGCTCGACTCTCAAGAAAGTTCCGAGAGCACGGCACGACAGGAATCACGGACATTGACCTTTGCGTTCTCTTCGATCACGCGTACGTCTGTTTCGATCAAACTGCAGTGTGTCCCAAGCCCGCACTGTCACTTACGACGTCGTTCAGACCTGGATGCAATGGCATCTTACCAAGACGATGCGCTCACAAGTGAAGTACAAATGTCGGACATCGGGGACACTGGCAGCGCGGGATGTGAAGAGGACGTCGCAGCGCGCATCGGAACGGAGTCGGATGCCGTGCAGTGATAGGTAACACTTGCGAACTGATCGTCTCGATTGACTCGCTAACGACGTGACGTTTGCACAGTGATTCCACTCCACCTTCGATGCGCTTGAGATCGTTCTGTACTTGACCCCAGTGCGTGACTTTGGGCGTGCTACGAGTCCATTTTGAACTCGATGCCGCTGACGTAGCTGATAGATGGATGAATATATCAACCACCTCATTGCACTGCATACGTTCTGCTTCATGGACCACGACTGCGTGAGGTTGCTCAGACTAGTCAATCGCACAGTATATAAGATCAAACATTGTTGTCTCTCGCTTCGCGTCGAATAATGACGACAACGCGTAGCCTTGACAGTAGTACATCTCGAAGGCGATGCGGCTATATGCGATGGACATACGTGCTAGTGTGAAGCGTGATGAATCACTTACACAGATTCGAGGCGGGGCCACGGGTCGGGTCGAACATAATCCAGGCGGAACTTGTGTCTCCGTGCAAATGTGACCTTGGCAACTCGCTCCTCCACTGCTTTTTGGCCTGAGTTCGAGATCTATACTAACCTACGTAGAGAATGTCAGGTAAGCTCCTCAATAATGAGAATATCAGCGATGCGATGAAGACCTCCCTGTCAATCAGTGCATGGAATTGCTCATGGACCTAGAGCGCCAAAGTCAGTGATCCTCCACGTATGTCCGCTGTGGGTCTTGCAAGACCGCTCTGAAGCCATCGAAAGTTCAGCTTCACAGACATAAGCTTTGACGTGCTTTCCTACGGCATCAACGTATCCCACCACGATGTAAGTGATAGTCTCCGCCAGCTCGGCCCGGTGCTGATTGCTGACGAGGTGAACTAGATCAGGACGTAGCCACTCGCACAACCCCGAGACGAGGTACCTATATGCACGTAACTTACTGACATGTCAGACGTGGCCAAAGCGCGGAATAAACTCACCAAGACCCAGGACACCCGGAGATGTACACAGACAGGAGCTTGTCCTACGAGGATCAAAGTCTGAAGTTAGACGTCACAGGGCGGCTCGCTGGCAGTACGCAGCAACTCGAGAGGCCGCCGTCCGATCGGGCGAAAGCATCTCCGTCGTACTCCAGCTCGTTCGAAGCTCTCGGGCGCCGCCCGTTTGCAGCCATGGTTCCTGTTGCGAAGTTCGATTGCGGCCGGGGGTGCTGAAGTACTGAGGACCTAGGTCGCGGAGGTTGCGTCACCGAGTCCAGCAAACGACATCGCCAAGGATGGCTGGTTGGCACACCATTGGCTTGGACCGACATGCGATGGTCGAGGTCGCAGAAGACCTACTAGCATGGGAGGGACACGTACGGCAAGCACAGAACAATGTAGACGCAAGTACGTCACACTTGCGGCCAATCGGGAATACAGCAACACCGGAAAGTTAGCATTCGAAGCGACCGCTACGCCGCGAGTGCGAGAGCCAACCGCGGAGGATCCGCGCTCGCTGCCGTTGGACAGAGCTTGATATTGATCGCGATTTTGAGCAGTGTGACT